TTGAAAACCAGCCTTTAGAGAGATCCAGAGAATGTATAGACACGCAATTCGTTGACAAGAAAAATCTCTGAATTTGACCAACGATAGGCATATGGTTACGAGCCCAACTGATATTTTAAATCATAAAAGATTCATTAATTTTTTCATTCCTTTTAATAATTCAAACTCAGTTGAATTTCCTTGTCTGTTATTATTGTCCATCCAGTATTGTGTCAATCAAAAACGTGCCACGTTTATAGAAAATCGGCACTCTCCCTACCAATTATCATGAAACCCTTTTAGACAATCAGGTCAAATGAGAAGAATTATCAGACCTTTTATTCGTTTGATAATTCCGATATTTACCTATCAGCAGCCAAACAGACGCGAAATTTTCCTTTGAAACTTAGCGCACATATGGTGCTCTTTGATCTCCTCACCTGACCATCTAGGTCCCTGTCGCTGTACACATACGAAGCAGAAGTCTCCTGGCTGTATCCTTCATACTGCTCATACCTTTCGTCCCTCCATCCTCCCGAGGCAACCGACCCATGTCTAGCGTAACCCTCGTAACTCTGCTTTCGTGAAGAATTTGAGCTATGGTAGCTTCTTCTGTCGTATCCGTTTTCTGTGCCTCTCGACATGTTGTCTCCGTCGGCGTCCAAATTCTCCCAGCTTTGAATCTTTTTCGCTATTCTACCCCGCCCTACGGGATTCACTGGGTTCCAGCTATCAACGTAGGACACCCGAGCCTTGACGCTGTCAAAATCTCCCGTGTCCACATCCCTGAGGCTTTTTGACCTAGATATGGTCTCAGTCTCTTCTCGTTCATTGAGGTATTCTAAGCTCTGGGATCGACCACGGAATCCCGACGATATTTCTCGGTCTCCTTCGTCATCGGAGACATTTACTCGGCTAACTTTGGCAGGCTGTCGTGTGATGTTCTGATTCCGATCGAGGACTGCGTCATTCTCGTATTTGTAAGAGGCCATGCTTTAAAACAAGAAGAGGCTGAAGTGAGTATTCGAAAAGCAATAAATGCATTTAGTGTCCGGGGCGCGGCGGTGCCGATAGGATTCCCGAAGAAACATTGAGCTTCCTATGTACCAAATAACATGATTAATTTATCAACTATTTCTGCCTTTCAATACATACATACAGACTTTATTCGTCCCAAATGGACTTTTCACCGAATAAAGAAATAATTAAAATTATATACTAATAAATTAATGAATTAATTAACTAGTAAAATGATAACATAATCAAATTAATTAATTAATTCAATAAATAAATTAAATAACAAAAACATTGAGCAATTAAGTCTTTTAAAAAGTTTGAGGTAGGGCATCTCTTCAGTCAACGTTTGAAGTCCGTTGTCGGTTTCAACTTAAGAGTAGAGTCTAATGAGTTCCAGAATTTGACTCTCCTGAACATGAAGTAGAAAGTTCTTTGTCCTGTGGCGGTTTTATACAAAGGAATATTTAGCATCTGGGAGTTCCTCGATCCCGATCTGATTATAAAATTTCTGTGAACACAGCCAAAATCGCAACTAGATTTATGCGGTGAGGCGTACCGTTCAAACAACTCTGGAAACGCAACTTTAAAAACGCTCTTCTAAGTGGTTGAATGTGATGCCGACTTTGTGTCTTTAAAATTGTGGACGGAAAAAATTTTGAAAAGGAGCCGCCTAATTATCTTGTTCTTTTGGAGGAATGATCACGTCCTGATGTCCATGCCCGAGGATGCAGTTAAGGGTTTCTGCCGGCCATTACAATTGTCCGAAAACAATTCATTCACATTCCAGTATTGAACACAATTTCTTTTCTTTTCGCTTACCTGTTTCTATTAATTCGGTTTATTTTCTATGTTAACCTCTATTACAATACAACGCCTTCACTTAAAGTAATATTTGTCAATGGTTTAGGAGTAGGTCCAAGCTCACGACTCCTATGACTTTTAATAATTAACTTTTCCTATAAACATCAGCCGGCTCACTTGCTAATTATTTTATTGTGGGTAAGGAAAACGGAATAATTTACTAGTTCTTTTTTTTAATAACAAATCTCTCCATTTACTCGGTCATAGCTTGATTTAGAAAGCGTGGGAGTGCAAAAACGATGTTTGGAATCTAATTAATAGATTAATGTAATGGAAAGTGGTACGAATGTTTTGGAAACAAGCCCTTGGCATTAAAGAAAGCCTGGAATTAAAAATAGCGCTGAGTTTGCCCTTTCCAGATGTTCCAACGCTTAGGATGGCTATGTTTTTCGTGGATAAAACAAATATATCTAGCAAAATTTGTGTCAAAAATTTGCTTTTTTAAGGATATATTTAATTATTTTTCTATACTAGAAGAAGAAAAATTTAGACCATTAAGATCATTAAGACAACCAGCATTCAAGACAACTGTAGAATGTTTGTTAACTGCTCCACATACACAATCTACTATGATGTTTGATTGTTAAACGATAAAAAAAAAATGAATTAAGATTCAGTTGATAGTTTCATTAAGTAGTGTAATGCAATAAATTATCTGATAATAGAGATTTCCCCTCAAAAGACTTGTATGGAAAAGAACAGGGGCTCTTTGTGAGTTGCGATTGAAAAGCTCAGTATCGAGGAAGCCGTGACAAACAACTGTGGGATTTAGAGAGACTTTCATCGTGATTTCATCTTCGAATTTCCATTTACTGTTCATAGCAGATGCCCCACCTACACTTAGTTTCAAAATTAAACACCAAATTCGACGTTGAACTTGAATCGAGCTGCCATATAAATTATTTTTTAGACGAACTTCTCACTAAATAAACTATCTGCGCTCCCACGACGCCCCTCAAAACCAAGCTGACTGAATTCGCTGATACGATGGAGTTTGCATTCCACAAAAAGGTAAAAATACAACGCTAACCGACGCTAACATAACGCTAGCAGGTTACTTTAGCACGAAAGCTGCTGTAAATACCCGAAAATAAACCGTTTGCATCGGGTCGGCAGAATTCAGTATGAAATGGCTCCTCGCGACTGATTGTAAAGAGGAAAAAGGGCTATGCAGTTGCAAATGCATGAGTAAATTATGGAAAATTAAGCCTCTTTGGGGAGAACTGAGCGTTGAAAGTCTAATAGAAGGTTTGTTCTTACCTTAATTTGTGTTTACGCTTCGTTGCATCCAAGCTCCTGGAATGCCCAACATTGTTGAAAGCAGAAAAACTCGCAAATAATGATGAAACTCGAAGAACGTGCGTTTCAAAATTAAGCAAAGCGGGCCTATTTTGGTAAATGACAGCTAGATAATTTGTAAAACCACTAAACCCGACGCCAGGAATTCATGACAGAGTGAACTAGCTGTAAGAAAACTCCAGAATTTTTTCATATTTCATGTGGATAATTAGTTAAACAAGCGTCGTTTCCAAACAACGTTTACCAGCTCGAACGTGATTGGTTGATTTTGTTAACCACCCGCTCGAAACAGACGTTATAATCACCGGCAAAAATGTACACTAGCTTTTCGTCTCTTGGAAAAATTCCTGTAGGACAAATTGCCAGAAGTATAGACGCTAGAGACGTAGCATTAGCTCACGATCATGATTTTATAACTAACGACTTTTATTTAAGAAAATATTGGATATATAGAATCAGTCGAGGACAGTTCTACAGAAGGGGGAAACAAATTATCCTAGTTGTGTACGTTTTCATGAAATATTTTTTTCATTGAAGTGTTTTTACGTTGTCGGTGAGATATCTTGCGAAAACCAAAACATTTTAAAGACAAAATCGGTCTTCACACCGCTTTCACGTTCTCTTTTGCTTTCGAATGCTGCCCAGTGCCCACAGGAAATGAAAGAAACTTTTAACACCCAGTCACTCAATAACTTTATTTATATATTTTATTTGATGCAAGGCAAACATTTAACTTGGACATAGTCCACAGAGAATGCATTTATCGTTATCGAAAATCTAAGAAAAAATAAGGGATGCAGCAAAAAGAAGAAAGTGGGAACGAGGAATGAAGGGTAATGAATGGGGATTGAATCGAGGAGAGTAAAATATTGGAACACGCGGGCGGGAGAAAAATGGGAGCTATCCCCGCGCGTCAACCTTTTCCTTCCAGCGTCACCACAAACATTGACCTTAGCTCCTCCCACACAGGTTAATTTGTTTCAATGCATTGGTTGTTTATCGACTTCTCAGCCGGAGTGACTCTGGAAAAAGCCCCAAGGGTTTGAAAATAAAGCTCAGTCGAGGTTTTTCATTTTTTTTTTCTGTATAACGAAACCCGAGAGGCGCACCAGGTTTGAGTTTTGCTCCGACGAATTGAAATAAGAGACACTAGTCATTGCACTAGTCATTGTCCACATAAGGATTGATAATTTCCTCTGGAATGATAACCTGCGTAATTGAAAAACAGTAAATTTCATTCTCTTTTGTTTGTTTTTCATTATTTTGTTTTCCGTCTGTTTCCTCGCTCCCGATACCGGTCAAAGACGGAGAAAAAGTGAGAGAACATCGGCGCAAGTTCGTGCGAACACGAACAGCTAACAGTTTATCAATTTCGCTTTTTTCTTCTAACTGTTCTTTTTTTTTTCATCAAGAATCTCTAGGAACAGGGAAGCCATACAGCTATAGAGAAATAAATTTCAAACTATTTTTAAAATTTTTATTTCCTCCAGTAAAAATTTGTTTTTAATAGAGCTCGCAATTTTTTTTTTTTCGAAAAAATAGTTAAAATGTTCCCAAAATTACAAGGTACTAATCGTTAGGTTTTTTTTTTGATATTTGTACATGCACAATTCACATTTTATCTTGTTTTGTATTTTAAGTTTGTCGAGCGTCTTGAACATGAGCCTCTGGCTGGGAAGTTGGGCAAACACTTTCCACATCTTAACATGAAATGAATTATTCTATTCTATATATGTGACAAGATCAAAGCATTTAATCTGCAATTGTGACACGCTTGATTAATTATTATAGCGTTCACCAATCAAATGTTTGTGTTGAGCCATTGTAATCTAGAGTGGCTTGTAAACGTCTCGCTCAATAGGTATGATAAAGATCACTCATAAATGAATAGGAAATTTACCGCATTTTTACAGTCGATTGGAGTGGGGTAAACGGTGAAAAGAAGACTGCGCGTCCAGGGATAATTAAACGTGTTTATGGCGAGTTTTGTGCGACCAGATGAAGCGCCAAAGCCTCAATTGCGTTTATCAAAATGGGAGAAAGCTGATATTAGAACTGAACGACGTTCTCGAGCGAGTAAACATGAACTTATGCGGGAGAATATTGCCGACAAACTGCGATGTCCACTTTGCTTCTGCCTTCCTTGTGTGGTTATCGTCTTTATCTTACTCATACTAATCGGAATCTACGTTGTGCGGCCGTATGTTCAAGGTAAGAGTTAAGTTTGTCGAGAGTTTTGTGTTCAGCGCGCGGTAGTGTTTGTCCTTTGACAGCTTGTCGATTTCAGAATCGTAAACATGGTTATAATTTGCAAGGAAGGTAAGCAAGCTATAATGAAAGCTATGTAAACGTACATCTAGCGAAGGGTCCTCAACTTGTGTTTGCGACGGGATTACTGACGCGGGTTTCTTTCACATGTCGATTTTCTCGTAGTTTTTGTGCTGCTTCACACTTGAGTTACCGCTAAATCGTCGCTCATTAATCTCTACCAATGTTACAAAGAGATTGGCTTTTGTTTTCATGGTTCATTTCAGTTGCCGGAAAAAATACGTACAGTTTGCAGGCATCGATCCTAGTAGTTTGTGCAATACAATGAACTAATTAACATGTGTTTGGAAAGTGAAATCTTTGAGGACATCAATTTGAGGGGTTTCCAAGCTGCATTACCCACAATATTCACGATTTCACCGCCTTTGTTCCGTTAGACTGTATTAGATGTACGTTATAATGATTTCGGAATGTTTTCAGTTCTGTTCACCGCTTCTACAGTAGGCTGCACTTGTACAATATCGTTTGTTACGGTGGTCTTATGACGTGATCCTCTAAAATTTCTTGACGAGTTTGTCATGTGATCGTCAGCTCTATGATGGCGGACGACGACCGTTCCTCTGTCGGCTTTATCTTCTTCCCCGAGTGTGGGTGCTTTTTCTGGCGCATTGATCGATGTTGAAAGCTTTGAAACCGCACTAGTCTGCTATCTGACAGTGTAAACAATAACATTACACAGCTCAAAAATATTAGGTACTAGTTTAATATCATGTTAGTCTAGTCGGACGATAGGGAAATATTTTCAAGTGCTTCAGAGCACTTTTGCGCAAGAAACTGTTCAGCTCCTCTTCAGCCCCCTCCTCCTTGTTCTAATACCCCGTTCCTGGGGGACTTGGTACACCGAGCCTCTCCCCCACCCCCTTGTCATTTTTTGCTCTTACCCAATACAAGTGAAGACTCTTTGGTGACCCATCCTTGTGGACATAAGTGGAGAAGTTACTTGAATTTTTTCCAGAGGTTTAACATATCTCTGTTTACGACTCTTCAACAGGCAGAGGATTAGTTTCCACCGAATGCCTGGTAACTCGCGTGGAGTCTTTACAAGAGGGTTCCTGCAGTCACCGAACAGACAAATTCGGCCCATGCGTCAAAATTTTCGTAAGTGTTGTAACCTCTTTTTACCTTTTTTAAAGTGAAATCTTTGTTTATCTCAAGGAAGGGTTGTGTAAATGAATGATATTTTTGAAAACCCAACCAACAGGGGGCTTTATTCTTACCAGCGGAGTATCGAAGAGTGGGAATTTGAGAAAATCGATGTTTAAATTTATCGTCACGCGATTTGCGTGACAAGCTTGTGAACGCGTGCTATAGGCACTGCCCGCTCATTAGCAATGAGAGCAACCTGAACCTATCACGTGAAATCGAGGCAAGGTTATAAAATTCCTTCGAAAAAAAATAACTTTGACTGGTTTTGGTTGGGTTTTCTTCAGCATCTTTGTTACGCTCCTTAGAAAAAGGTTTCATAAAAGAATTCAGATTACATATGTGCTTTGAATCTTTTTAGGTAGCGTACGATGTTGACCAAACAGCAAAGTTTGAAGCGGTTCTCATGGAAAACGAGCAAGCTTTGGCTTTCTGCGAGAAGGTTGTAGAACTTGTGTTTTCGTAAAGAATTTTGAGTGCAAACATTTTCCTGATACTCGAATTAAAGGAGAAAGGTTTTCAAGTTCCCATAACTGAGAACAGAAATGGTCCGAAACTTACCTGTTGAAAGCTTTCCTTTTGGACATTAGGGCCCAAGACAGCTCTGTAAGCTAAGCAAGTGTCGCCTGGTAAGGAGTTCTATGTGCATTCCGTTTTTCTCTCCAGACCTGTCCCGGATCCCTTACTAAGTCTCTTTCCTTCCTATCACGCACAGTTATGCGTATTGACCGCTTATTCCAAGTTATAGAGCACTTTCAAAAACACTAAAACCAAATTTACCTCAACAATCAATCGGAACTAGAAACGGGGGGGGGGGGGAGTTGTTATGGATTGTTTCTTGGAGCCATTGAGACACTCTCAATAAATACTTCAATGTTACCGTAAGTAAACTTAAAGGAAATCGTGGGAACGCGAATAATGGACACAAGCTTTTATCTGATTGGTTTAGAAGGGGTTGCGAATTGTTTTAACCAATGAGAGAGCGTAGTGACACCAGGGTAAAACCATTATTAGCGCTGTAAGGCACACGTTTTCCCGCCCGCGGGAAGATTTGAAACGAGTCGTCGGAATTGCGAAGGATCTGGCACCAATTATCAGTTCTAGACCTTTTGTAGACCCCTCACCGACTTGGATCTCTCAAGGTCTCGTATTCACAAAGAATCGCGTGTGCCAAAGTGCTACTTGCAGGCAAAAACCAGAGCAGCAATCTTGGATTTTTCGAAACTTTCCTTCTCCCTTCATGGATGGAGATTTAAATTTGACGATTCATTCTTTTCTTCACAGTGTTCTCTTACGTTTGGTAACAGCGACCTGTTCGGAAGATACAGCTCGTGTGCTTGGGACTCAGATTTAACCATGGAGGAATGTGATCAAACATATATGGAATTATATGGAACGGTAAGATATAGTTAAAGCGTTTGCGACTCTTCGAAGTGGCATTTACTTGATGCGATCGATTCATTAGCAAAGAAATACTCGCGCCGATCTCTACCTGTCATCAAACGGCTATCAACAGTGAAGGCATCATTTGTCATGTTCAAAAATGTTCACCCTAGTCGAAGAAAGCTTTCCAAAAGATATTTCGAATACAAATTAATGCCTGGTGAAGATAGCTTGTGTACAGCCGCCCCCTCTACCCTCCAAAAGAAAACCAGAGGAGGGTAGGGTATGGCTGTACACCGGTTAGTTGGAGATGACTTACTACAAGCAACATGTAAGTGCCGGGATGTTTTAACCTGGAACAGAGAAGCTTATTGTTCACCATTAACCTTCGCCTCTTTTTCCACTTTTTTCGCGTGTCACTGAAATCTTTACCAATCCTTTGAAAGGTAACCTTCAAATTATTTTTTTCCAGGTTAACAATACATTTTCGTGTTTTTATGATCCTGAACGTTCAGAAGACGTAGCGCGGATACTCAAGGTAAAAGGTCTAACAGCCGCCCTCTCCCCAGTCCCTTCCCTTGCATTTTGCATTTCAGGGGCAATAACCATCCGATTCAAAAGTAGTATATACAATAATCATCGGTAACAACTCTTCACTTGACAAAGATAAATCAATCACTGTGGAAAATCCCTTAAGATTGGGTTTCGAGTGTCAGACCTTTGCGGAAGCTGTAAAGAAAGAGTTTCGAAGAGGGGCCATCATTGATTTACTTGATTGTGATAATTCAAATATTCTACTCACGCGACTATCTATGTGATCTCATTCAGATTTCAACCGGTGAAGCAGTGTGCTTGGTTCTCTTGCCTCTTTTGTTTTTGCTGCTATGGCTTTTGGCTGTTGCCTTCCTCGTTTATGACAATCATCTCCGAAGGTAACGCTCCTCTTCCTTATAGGTTATTTACATTAATATTTCAATCTTTTGTTTCCTTTCTCATGTCGACGAGGTGTAAATGAAATACCAATATTGTTTAGAGTATTAAGGAGTTAGCACTATGGTTAGAGTGCCGGAATTCGAACCGAGGGGTCTGGGTTGTAGCTCTGGTCACGTCACTGCTTGAGAGAACATCTATCCACCAGAGATATGAATGTACGAGTAAAGTTTCAAAGGGGGGGGGGGGGGTTACGTGACATGAGGGGAAAGGAGGCACCATGGCCGGAAGCCAAGTCGTCATAATTATTACGTAGTAATGTAGTTTCCTCTCTCCACTACATGCAGTGTCGTTGATGAGCAGATCATAGAGGAGAACGCAAAAGCTAACAAATATCCTAACAGGGTTGGGGTACGTAATGGAGGAACGCTACCGCTGGGAAAGCAAAATGGTGGTTTCGACCTGGATACATCAACAATTGGAAGCGTAGAGTCCACTGCCGTTAGCGTCAACGCAACACCACACACGCGCAGGAGGAGAAAGAAGAAAATGCCATGTGCAAGACAACATTATCAATTCGACTACCTCGATGAGGGGATTTTATTAGAAGATAAGCCGCTGTCGTATACAAGCGACAACCCCTATAGTTACACCTTCGTGACTGTGGACACTTCGCCTGTGTGTATTTGCCATCACAACGGACTTCTGGAGACAGGGTTTGATCGTTTGCCTCAAAGAGATTTTTACACAAGTTTCACACCAGCGTTTGGTCCACCAAACCGAAGCTATACTTCTCATTACTCTGGTCGACCAAGCTGGAGTTTACCAGAGTCTTTCGTATGATCACACACCCACGTTTACTCGTGAAGTTTTGATTGTTGTCCTTGTTTGCTAGACTAAGGGTAGTCTCCATTTCCTCGCATGATCTATCGTGCGATTAATTAACACCTGGAGGAACAAAAATAATATATTTTGGCAGGGTGGAACATAAGGAAGCTGTTCGCGTTTACCGACAAGCAGCGACCGAATGTAACTTTCGTGATCGATCAAGGATGATAAGTTTCCAGAGTGTTTCAAGTCCAATCTTCCTGGCGCTCTTTAATGTGTCTCTTTCCCGCGCTCTTCTCTTTTCACCGTCCACGCGACTTTGGAATTGTGTTAAAATCATTTCCACCGATTTCTATTGATCCACAGAGTGCGCCTGGAAATAAGTTCTGCTCATTGTCCAGTCGTTTGCGTGTTGCAGTTCTCCAATGTTACGAGCAAAACGAGGCGCATTCCTGAACGCAACTGGGTCAGCGGAAACTGCCTTGATTCCGACCCCTAAGACCCAGTTGTCAGTATTGTTTACGAGCTATAGGTGGTATGTTACAGGTAGCTCACGCAACGTGACAAAAGAAGAGAAAGTCGAACTCGGATATGGCCTTACTGAACGAAATTTTCCTTCGATATTTTTAAGGAGATATTTGGGAATAACGATACCAATAAAAAAGCTTGATTTAATTCATGCTAATCATACTCAACGAGGAGGATAAATCTAACCCGCTCCCTACTCTTTACCTAGTTTTTTTTGGTTTCCTATGCCATCTCACAAGAGGGGACGCTGTACGGTCGCACTTCATTGCGCAACAATTTTGGCGTCAAAGCAAAAGGAGAAAGCCCAAAGAAACCCACCAAAGGTAGCAAGAAATAAGAACAAGTCCCGCTAATATTTGTCCGAGCCAGCAGTTTTAATTGAAATCTCTCATCCTAGTAATATGAAGAAATCTATAAACGTACATACAACGTTTGGGATAACGAGCCTGCCAGAAAGTTGGCTGCAAAATGGCCACTCTAACGCAGATGTCGTAAGAGCTCATATCACAATGTACCTAGTATACATTTGAAATAGGAAATCCACCGTCTATATTGACTAAATGAGGGTATTTAAGTTAGAAAAAAAGGAAAAAAAAGAAATTATGAAATAAACTATAAACGTGTAAAATGTATGCTCTCAAACCTTCGTAGTCGGTAAGGAAACGATATAAAGAAATACTGATTATTTCGCCCTCTGCCAAGTAATGAATTTGATAAAACTTGCCAAGTCAAGCCAAATTAATAAAAAAAATTGTTTGACCTTAAAACACAAGTTTACCTGAGTAAAACAAAATACCATTCGACGGGTGTTAACAAAAAGGGCGATTTTAAGGAGAGTTTGGCAAAGAGAGCGGTTCAGTAAAAGAGAAAAAAACTCCCCTCCCTTACCCCAAACGTACACATTTGGCAAAGAGAGCGGTTCAGTAAAAGAGAAAAAAACTCCCCTCCCTTCCCCCAAACGTACACATTTGGCAAAGAGAGCGGTTCAGTAAAAGAGAAAAAAACTCCCCTCCCTTACCCCAAACGTACACATTTGGCAAAGAGAGCGGTTCAGTAAAAGAGAAAAAAACTCCCCTCCCTTTCCCCAAACGTACACATTTAAACTCAACCAAACCCACATAAACTAAATGGGAAAAGGGTGTCAAGGATTAAGGATGTAAACAATTTTCGGAGAGCAAACATTTCCGTTGGAACACAAATATGTAATCAGTGATGGAGGAAGAGAGAGAAAGGGTGGTACACTCTGATGGGAACACAAAACTTTGTTTCGTGCACTGCAGTAGAAAACGTTTTCAACTCGTACAAGAACATTATCAAATAAAATGGGGACACGAACAGTTAGCCCAATTTTCACGCTAATAAGTCAGTTATGAGGCATTTTTTTTTTCAAAGAAATAATTCAAATAGCCCACTTTTCTTCATTCCGCGAACCCCCTGACAAACTCAGGCGCGTCACACTACGCGCCTTTATTGCCACAGCACAATTCCCTATCACGCAAAGCTCGTGTATAAGGTAATGCACTTGGTCACGTCCGAAAGAACGCCAAAATTTTCTTTTTCAAAAGAATGAAACATCTTGGTTGCAAGAGTACAAGGTAAACGCTAACTAAAGGAAACATTCGTTAACTCCACAGAAAACGAGTTCTTCCACCTGGGTATAGTTCAACAAGACCAAGAAAGAAAGCCACAATGAACGCGATAAATGCCACTAAACCAGCCTTGATGTACGTCCACTGAAAACAAACAAATCAAGAAGACATTTCATGAGAATGTGAAAAAAACAAAAGAAAAAATCAAACCTTCAGTAGCTCCAATGTGTTTAGCGACAACCCAGGGTTGTCGCTAAGCGCCAGATGATAAAGGGGCGACCGCTTGCTGGAGTTTGGGCCGGCGATTGCTTGGCAAAGCATAACAACAACACTTCTGAGGTAACGCATACTTACTTACTTAACTTTATTTGGGGAGGGTAGCGCAATAACCTCATAAAGTTTTCTAACCTGCGGCCCTCACACCCACCCCAGGGGAGGACATCCATCACACCAGTAATCTCGTGCGTAGGAAATTAACGTCTCCTGCCCCTAACCCTGCGGGAGACGGGACCTCCATTTATTCGTCCCTATCCGAGAAGACAAGAGTATCTAACCATTTCTTGATGTTATTGAAAGGTAGCATATTCTTCTCAATTATTTTAAGACCTTGAGTGTTGGTCCGGCCGGGGCTCGAACCCTCGACCTCCCGCACAACAGTCCAGCGCTCTCTCCATTTAGCTAACCGGGAGGCGGTTAAAACTTTCGATATTGAGCCGCCTCATTTGGCCGGCAGCCTAATTTATTAGTTTCAAACCGTTATACCCAGTATGCATGTAAAAGTAGGAAACTTAGTCATAAAGGCAGCCAGCCTGTCAGAGGAAATTTGGCTTACATTGACCTTGTACTGACAAAGGAGCTGAAATTAAAGTTGCACCGCACTGAAAGATTCCCAAGAAGTAAAACGGAAGTGAAAATAGTACTAGTTGCACCTTTGCAAAGGAGTCACAAGTAGAGAAAAACTCACCAGATGTATATTAGCGTCATTTAATTCTTGGATATTCCTTTGAGCGTCCTCTTGCGTTTTCTGAAGCTTCGCTTCCGTTTGAAAAAGTCGCTCCTCGAGGGCACTTGCCTAAACCACATGAGAGGAACATGAGAACCACCTAACACCCGTGACATTTTTTTACCGCGCTACACGCCAGGTTTAGGCTTTCCTTCACTGTATATCTCTTTGAAGTTTTCCAAAACAGCGGTCCAATTTCGGGCATGCGCAATGGGATCATTTTGGCTGACTGTGCGTCACTTTTTTCGCGCAAAATGTCAAATATTGGATTGGATTGGATTGGATTGGTTGATAAGGTTGTTGCAAAGTCAAGATCGGTATGAAGTCAATTCAACGAGATCGAAAGCGTAGGTCCAGACTGAAAAGCACTATTGAGTTAATAAGAGAGATTTCAGTACCTGATCTTCGGTAAGTTTTTTCTCCGTCATTTCCCTCTCAATCTTGCCCTGTAGCGTAGTCTGTAACAACAAACAAGACACTCTTTACACCCCTGCCCAAAATGAATGCTACCTGGAAAACCAGTAAATGACCGTTCAGAAGCACAGGACCTCTCTGAGAAAGATTTCAAGGCTTCACAAACCTGTTGACGCATAATTTTTTCACTCAAAAATTTGCTCTGGTTTTCGATCTCACGGTACGTTGCTTGGAGACGAGATTGGTCGGAGGTCAACCGGTTGTTTTCTCGACGGTATCTAAGTTAGTGAAAAACAAAAGACCAGATGAATGAATTGCTATAGTTTCTATTCAATAGAATTAATCCGCTATGTTGGAGGATGTACTCTGCAATAGTAAAAAACGACAGAGAAAGAGATGTAATGATCCTATGGGCTGATGTAGAATAAAAACAGAGTACATTGAGGAAAAAGGAGAGACTTTCTCTTTGAGTCTGGGTATCTTGGTGAAGAAACTCAACAATTTGCGACTCACTTTTTGAGCTCGCTTTCCAAGATCTGTATTCTTTGTTTCAGGAAGCGATTATCCTCCGTGATTGCACTCAGCTCCACTGTGAAAACAACAACAACAACAAAATGCTGATTTAAATCAAACTAAAATATTTTATTTTATTTCATTTTCAACAACATAAAAACTTTCAGTCCCTTACAACAACTCTTTGCGTGGAGAAAATGAAAGCTTAATACATAAACACCTCGCTGAAATCAGATTATATCAAAATATTTCAGTCTTCCTTGATTTAAATTGAAATTACAAACCTTTATTCTTGCTTGCATCCTTCGCACTCTTAGCTGCCTGTTTCTGCATCTCCCGTGCATTGTTGATGGCGGTTTCAGTGGCGTGATGTTCGCATTTCTTCTCTAACGCAAGGAGATCTTTCTCTCGTACCAATTCATTTAGTTCTCCTGTACACAAAGATCAATAAAGGATAAAACTAATGTACAGAATTCTATTAAATCTCAGTACTGATTAACAAATAACTTCTCATAACTAATTAACAAGAGAACATAACGCAGTAAGAAGGGAGAACTGAGTTACAAGTCAATTAACTTACGCTTTAGTTGAGCTACAAACTCTTCTTTCTTCCGAGTGCATTCTTGTTCTTCAAGTAATTTGTCTGTAAAGTAAAAGCAAGCAAAATTAAATTTTCTAGGGGGGAAAAAACCCATCGCCGATCGTACTTTCCCTGTTTCGTTGGAGACAAGGATGGCACTTTTCACTGTGTAGCTGCATGTGGTTTAAGGGAGTTTTCATTTTGATCGAGCACCCGAAAAAACTCCCACACTTAAAGGGCGCAATATTCTACTCAAAAATATATATACTTTGTTTTCAATAAACAATATCTTCGTGACCATAAATGTAGAACTGAACCGCACATTGAACAAAACGAAGTGAAGGGGGAAAGTTCAACAGAGCACGATTATATGAGAGAAATTTAATGATATGATACTAGCGGTTGAAAGGCACTGAAGAAAGCGATACCAACGAGTGCAAGAGTGCAAAGCAACATAAAAATGAGATAGCAAAGTACCTCTCAGATCTAAAATTTGCTGTTTGAAGTCTTTAGTATAGGCTTGAGCATTTTTCAGCTCCTCTGAAATAGGATAAAAACGCCGAATAAAAAACAAAATAAAATAAAATCCAAAAAAAAAGGTTAAAAAAATGAATTAAATAATTAAAATCGAATAAGTAAACAAAAACACAACATTCAGCAAAAGAAAATATGAGGTGGTAAATATGAATTAGTTCCTGTCATGATTGTCAGCGGTATGATAGAGAAGACCTTGTTACATCAGGAAAATCAATGTGATTGGTCAAGAGAAAACACGCACCACCTTATCAACCAATCACAAGTTAGACTAAAACCAACAGCTCCTTGGCCACCTGCGTTTTCCCGCGCTTTCTGCAATTTGCTTGTTCCCAAGTTAAGTTCTCCTCTAGTCTCCATCGCTGCCGTTTTTAGTCTCGGCTGCGGGGGAGACTAGTTCTCCTCTGTTCCTTGTGATAATTACCTTAGTTCTGTTGGTCTCGACGACAACATTTGTTTTCACTCCACGGTACTCAGACCTCGAAAGTTGGGTCAATGACCGAGCGTGACACAA